TTTCACCAAGACAACGCGAGACCTCACACAAGTTTGGTCACTCGCCAAAAGCTTTTACAGCTTGAATGGGATACAATGCTACACCCACCATATTCTCCAGACCTGGCACCATCGGATTATTATTTGTTCCGGTCACTCCAAAATTTTTTAGGCGGTAAAACCTTCACCTCAAATGAGGAGGTCAAAAACCTCCTCGATCAGTTTTTTTTTATGAGCGTGGAATTATGCTACTACCAGAAAGATGGCAAAAGGTGTTGGACCAGAACGGTCAATATATAATTTAATAAAGTATTTGTTTATTATACGAAAACTGTTTTTCATTTCCACAAGAAAAAACGAAATGACTTTCCGAACAACCCTATAGTGTTATTCACTTATTCATGAAATAAATTCTACCTGTTAGTAAATATCGAATTAAAACTTATCTGCTTTTTATGATACTAAAATGACCTATGCATCTAAAAACTATTGCATATTCTATTTATTAAAAAAAGGAAGCAGAAGAAACAACATTGGTTCCATCCTAAAATGATTCAGAGATTAGTAAAACGGCAATTTTCTTATTTCAACTTCGGATATAATTTTTTCCGTATCCAAAACACTATGTAACGTTTCTTCTTCCTCTGCAACAAAAGACTCATGATGTGACATATTTGATAACCACTCAAAAGCTTTAAATTGCAGCACAGCATAGAAACAAGGCTGAAGGAGTTTGTCTTAATTCCCTTATATTTTTCAAAAGGTGATGCCTTTGTTCTCAATTTGTCACTAGTACTACTCCTTAATCTATACATCGAAGATGCGATCAACATCATTAAAGACAGTATAACTGGATAAATAGATATATAGGGGCAAAAGATTAGTATCCTTAGATTTGCAGAAGATATAGCAATATTAACATCTAGCAAGGACGAGTTAGAGATAGTTTTAAATAAAATTGAAGCAGTATTGTATGAAAATAAACAAGAGTAAAATAAAAATAGTGGTATGCAAGGGAAGAAAAACTAGGGAAAGAGCGAATGTAAAGATAGGAGACGAAAAATTAGAAGTGGCTGATTTTAAGTAGCTAGGAAGTCAGATAAGTCAGGACGGAAGGAATAGTAGGGATATGAAGCGGCGGATAGCGCAGGGTCGAGTCGCCTTCAATAAAAAGAAGTCACTTCTATGCTCGCGAACGGTTAATTTAGAAATTCGAAAAAGTTTGTTAAAGGTGTATATTTAGAGCGTGGTGCTGTATGGGTGCGAAGTGTGGTGTTACAAGCGAATGATGAGGACACAGTGGATAGAGAAGGTTAGAAATGAAGAAGTATAAGAAAGAATAGGAGAACAGAGGACCCTATGGAAGTCAATAAAAAAATAGGCGAGATAGATAAGTGGCGGAAACGGGAGTTAGAAGGCGTAGAGGTAGACCTAGATTAGGTTACTGTTCGCAAATAGTTAAGAATGTGGGATGTTCTAGTTTCAGGCAAATGCGAAAACTAAAGATAGGAAGGAGTGGCGGTGCGTGTCCAACCAGTCTTAGAACTGACGACCTTATGATGATGACATATGAATGAATTAGCCGCAAATTATGATACTTTAAGATAATCAGAAACAAAATTGTCACAATCGGATAAGTTTCATTCGCCTTTTTTATAATAAGTGGCCCAGAAGTTTCGACGTCTATATATTAATATAAATAACTAGGTTCTACCCGCTGCTCCGCTTGCATTAATGTCCTAAATACCTGCTAAAGATCATCGATCACCATATGAGACTAATTTTTCTATCCTTCGGGAATAGTATTTTTTCTAGATAAAAGGTACCCAGTGCTCTTTTCTATACCTCTAACAATGTTTGTGCAAAATTTCATGCTGATCGGTTGAATAATTAAGGCGTAAAAAAACAAACAAACAAATTGACATTCGCATTTATAATATTAGTTAGGATAATCTATAATATTTTAAAATAGTAGGCATACACATACAAAAGTTATTATTGCAGTCGGTCAGACGTATGAATTTGATAGCAATTCGTATTTTTTTATTACAAATGTATTACAGTAATTATCCAGTTAGGTGTTAGCTTCATGCAGGAAAAATAAAATGTTCAATTCATATAATGCAAATTTAATGTAGGTACCGACATAAAAAGTATTGCAAAAAATAAAAATGCTGTATATTGACAAGGTTCCGTGATATTTTCCATAGTAACTTTTCATGCGGACGTAGTATTTATACTGTTATTTGGATGTTAAGAAGCATTGATGTTTAGTTTTGTAGTTTTTACTGATTTATTTCATAATTTATCTACATATAGGTAAGTAAAAATAGTTAGTAGCATACCTAATGCATTCCTTTTTTTGTTGATTTGACTTGCTGGCTAGGTCAAAATTTTAGACGTAACAAAATTACATAATATTAAAGAACCAACCAATTATACACTGGTAGAGTATCTTTCGTGTAAAATTATAAATAACGGGGTCATTTCGTAAAAGTCTTTGCGGATGGCGAGCGCTTAAGAATGTAATCGTTTATTTCGGAAACGCCTAACGTTGATCGATGTGTTGGGTGAACTGTCCTTTCTCATTTTAGATTATTGGTAACAATTCACAAAATTTCTCTGACACTTTGAAGGTATACCTGAAACTCCTAACTTTTCGAATTTTTCTCATCTTCCAAAAGTGGACATTCATTACCTATATACGCACTAAGGCGCTAAATATCATCAACAGCTGAGGCTTTCAGGGCAATTGATGACCATTGTCTAGTCCAGCGGTCCCCAACTTTTCTTTTCTACGGAACCCTTTCTGAATCACGCTTTTTTGGCGGAACCTCATCCCGATAATAAATACGTAAAACTGATAAGAGTTCTATGTCTAACAATAAGAGGTGATTTATGCTGACTTGCCATATCTTCACATGCTTTTTCAAAAAGCCTTCACTGCAATGCTTCTGTCAATAATGACATTCAACAGCTGAACAGCAACAGTATTCCAGCTAAGGGCTTCGAAAGGTCAAATTTGAAAATATTGCGCTTACGAACATGGCGGCGTTTCAAAACTCATAGCTCCACAGCATGACGTGTCATACATACGAAAGATGGCTCGTTCGAAGCCCAATAAGTGTGAGAAGTTTTCGACGAAAATAATTCGGAACTGTCACATTCCCGATCTGCGTTAGAGCCAACGAAACGAAACTTGCGCAATTTGCCCTATTTTCATTTTTGGCGTTTTTCTAAGTCCACACGATGGCGCACAACTTCCGACTAAATGTTCCGATATCGATGGGAGTGTTATTAAAATTTTCTAGAGATCCTGTGCTCTGCGTGGATAATAAAAGCGCCTACCTACGATATTTCGCTTAAAAGTTATAGCTGTTGAAAGCTTTGGCCTAGTGTTATTTTTTAAAATCGAGAATTAAATGTTTAGGAGAACATATCTGGCAAACCATTAGAGATAGCGCAAAAATTCTTGCACCAATGGATGGCCTGCATCGTCGGGAACAGGAAAAACTTAATTTCGAAAGAAAATAAAATATTAAAAATTTTGNCGAAGCATTATTTTTATCGCTTTTATTTTAACAAGTTGTGCTACTATAACTTTGGCAATTGTCAAGCGATTCACAACACATAAAAATTGAAACGACAAAAAACAAAGTGTTTCAACAGCTAAAACAATCCAATATTCCTAAAAAGAAATTTTAAATTTTCAAAGGACCCCGCTAGATCCTTATGGGAAATAGCCCTCTGTCAAACATTCTGAATCTATGGACGCTTCACTTGTCGTAAAAATTCCTCTTTTTCAGAAATGGTTGCATTAAGTTTTCGTAAGGACTTCCAAGATATAATTATACCTATTATACGTATTAAATAGGTTCAAGAATACATATATCATTTGCATATACTTGGTCATTATTATATCTAAGTGCATTACATATTATGCATGTGTCATGGTTTCGGACGAGAGATGATCTCTGCAAAACTGTAGTAGGTACGCCTCAACGTCATGGTGTACTCATGGGGAAAGTGTACTACACTTTTGCAGAGTTACTATTCCTACTCTGAAACTATGACACATCCATAATATATGAATATATGTATACTTATCATATATCATATCTTAAAAAGATGAATTTTTACGACTTCAGACATTATAAGGTTCAAAATGTGGTGTTAGAAAGAATAGGAGAACAGAAGATTATGGAAGTCAATAAGAAATAGACGAGATAGGTTGGTAGGACACCTTCTCAGGCGGGAAGGTCTAGTCAGAAACATATTAGAGGCAGAAACGGGAGTTAGGAGGGGTAGAGCTAGGCCTAGATTAGATTACTGTTCGCAAATAGTTAAGGATAAGGATTGTTCTAGTTTTGGGGAAATGCTGAGTTTGGCTCAGGATACGAAAGAGTGGAGGTGCGTGTCCAACTAGTCTTAGCATTGACCACTTTATGATGATGATGAAAATTAGATTAACAGGTCGAGAAGTACCAGAATCCAAAGTTTAAGAGTTTGGCAGAGCTATTTTCCGCAAGGATCTAGTAGGATCCTTTGTTTCAAAACCTTCGTAAATAGTTGATTGAAATTAAGACGAAACTTGTGCAATGTACCACTGTCTCGTCACATTAGTTTTCACACCATAACAAACCCATGAAACTTAAAATTTTACTGAAAAACGTCATTAAGCATTTCTAATAGTTTAATTGTAAATGTAAAAACGTTGTAAAGTTTAGGAAACTAATAAAATCTTCAATATTCACATTTTAGCAAGAAATTCAGTTGTTGGTCATGTGAACGCTTCAATGGAAGGTCTTCTAACAATACGATCCAACAAAGCTCAAAATTGTATGAAGAATGTTTTTGATGAACGACAGGATATTTACAATTCGGCGACGTATATGGGTCTTGCGACTTCAAGAGCCTTAGGCTTATTTGCAGATTTAACAGGGTTTTTGTTCTTATCAACGATTATCTGTTATTTTTTCTTTTTTGCAAAGGGTAAGTTTATCAACATCATTATCACATCACTACGTCACTTCCCTGTACAATATGGTTCTAACGTAGGTATTAGGCTTGTAATAATAATTAATATGTCAGATATTACAACATTCTACAAGTAGATAACTATTTGAATGTTTAATAAATTGCCGGAACTGTGACTTATTAGGATTATTTACTATATCGAAAATGCTGTTGGAATTTTGAATTAAAAGTTGTTGAAGATCAACATTCAGTCGTCGTAGGGTAACAGATAGGTTGTGGTGGTGGTTGTGGCACTAGATTAAAATTCTAATACGCTATGGAGGGTTCAGGTTGGATTATAGTGAGAGTGGATTCCCTAATTAAATTGCGCAAAGCGAGATGTTAGATTATGGTGGAAAAAGTTCCACACTGTCGCTTTAAGTTACACTATGGTGCAAGAGCATTCATTTATTTTCATGTTTGTAGTAAATTAAGTGTTGCTTTCGTCTTTTAATATGTAAACAACACGATGTGAGTTTTTCGTGAGATGTTTTTTTGGTCTTTAAAATGTTTTTTCGGAGAAATGAGATTGCCAGAAATGTGTGGTATTAATAAGTGGGTAAGCATTAGAGTACGTTCGCACTAATGGTGACAGGATAGGTTGTCCGCTATGATAGGTGCTATGCTAGGACATACTACTGTGCACATCGGAAGCTATATAGTCCAGGATCCCTGGTACATTTTTGCACTTGATTATTATCAAGCTAATTTTCCGTGAGTAGCTTCATTTTGATGAGACGCCCAACAACTTCTTGTAAGAAACTTTGATACGCAATTTGTAGGACAATGTGACTATTAAATTATATAAATATTATCTAAGTAATTATTTATAATTACCTTGTTATCAGTACTTGTTGGAAAGAGAGAACTCTTTGATCAAACCATAGATTTTGTAGGACAAATATTTTTTCGAATAATTTAGATAATCATCTTGAGATTAAACACAAAAAACCCCAGTTAGTAATAAATTTTTGAGAATCATCAAACCGACATATTTTATCCTTGGTACCTCTGTTAGATACCACAATCAAAGTTACTTACAAGAAGTTGTTGGGCGTCTCATCAAAATGAAGCTACTCAAGGAAAAATTAGCTTGATAGTAATTAAGTGCAAAAATGTACCAGGGATCCTGTACTAATAGCTGCTCTCCATGATAAAAGAATGTATGAAGGAAAATCTACTGTTGGTTGTCGCTTGATTGAACGGAAAGACGTTATTTTTAAGATTTAGTTTAGTACATCGGATAGCTTTAGTACTTACAGGTACTTAATGAGTATATGACCATTGTAATATTCTTTTACAGGAGAATTTGCGGGAAACGTAGGATTAGCAATCACCCAGTCCTTTTTGTTAACGGGTATTTTGCAAAGGGGCATTTGTAATTGGGCCGAATTAGAGACTAAAATGACTAACGTTCAACGCGTATTAGAATTTGAAACCATCGAAAGTGAAACAGATTCAGGAAATCGCCCGAAAGAGTGGCCAAATAAAGGAAAAATTGAATTTAGAAAAGTCTCTTTACGATATAAAGCGGATAGTAATAACGTACTGAATGATCTTAATTTTACAATCGAACCGCAACAAAAAATTGGAATTGTTGGCCGAAGTGGTGCTGGCAAATCATCTATAATTGCGGTTATTTTTAAGCTCTATGATGTAGAAGGACAAATTTTAATAGACGACGTCGATATAAGAAATGTGAGCAACGAATACATAAGAAACAGCATATCAATTATCCCACAAGATCCAATTTTATTCCCGGGAACGTTAAGAGACAATGTCGATCCAAAAGGAAAAAGTACAGACGCAGATATTTGGGATGCGTTAGAAAAAGTTGAAATGAAATCGACGATTAGCAATTTTAAGAAAGGCATCGATACGGAAATTCCTGAAGGAGGGTCGATCTTCAGTGCTGGGCAGAGACAACTAATCTGTTTTGCAAGATCTATTTTAAAACACAACAACATCTTAGTCCTTGACGAACCGACAGCTAATATGGATCCACAAACAGACGCATTAATCCAAAAAATTGTAAAGAGCCGATTTGAAAATTGCACTGTTTTAACAATAGCCCACAGATTAAGTTCGGTAATGAATGCCGATAAAATCATGGTTATAGATAGCGGAAGAGTAATTGAATATGATGATCCGAACGTTTTGAAGGCCAACAGTGACAGTTTATTTCATCGAATGTTAAAACGTGCGGGGTTAATATGAATTTTATAGTTAAAACAACAAAAAGAAATTCATACACATAAACTTAAAATAAATATTTACCAAATTGTGTTTTGTTTTGCTGATCAATACCTAGAGATTTGCCGTAAAAGTGTGTTGTTGTAAATAGGTTGCCTTCAGATTTTAAAAGCTGTAATAGTTTTCTAGTTTTTGAAGATTTTTGGATCTTTTCAGATCTTTTTACTTCGACATGACAAACATTGAACAAAAAAGCAGCCCATCGCCTATTTTACATTAAATAAAAAGCAGTCGAAACTTCTCTAACCCGAACTTCTGTAACTCAAAATCCTTTCTAACTCGAACACTTTTCGTTCTCTTGTTTTACATTTATTCTAAACTATTTAACCTAATTTTTCTAACTCGAGATTAGAGTCGAATGTTAAAACGTGCGGGGTTAATATGAATTTTATAGTTGAAACAACAAAAACAATTTTAAACACATAAACTAAAAATAAATATTTACCAAACTGTGTTTTGTTTTGTTAATCACTACATACATTTCTGCTCCATAAACTTAAATAAATGTGGACCAAACTGTGTTTTTTCCTTAATTACCTATTAAGGTTTCGCGTCTAAATGGTAGCAAGTCCGATACTAATAGTACTTACTTATAGGCGAGGTGTCGGTGACATTGAAAGTACGGTGATCGCGGAATTGTAAAATTTTAAAAAAAATTGATAATTGACAATTATACGAACAATATGGTCATGGTACGCGTAAATTTACTTAGTCAAAAGTATATTAAAAAAATTATTTATAATAAAAAAGAAAAAATGTTTTACAATCATCGCGAATTTGAAGGAATTGTACTGTATTCGATAGGAAATTTGTTAATTTAAAAGAAAACAAATGGCACCAAAATTTCTTGGTATTGTTTTGCGCACTGTTTTGTCGTAATTCATAGTATTTCGTAGTTTCTTGCTAAAGGTACGATAAGTAGTGATTTGGCAGGTGCTGATATCAATTTGGAACTTCAAAATTCCATGGACCATGACAATGAACCCGAAAAACAATATCGATGATCCAATATTTTACATTATCCATTTCCAAGGAGTTTAGAATTATTTGGGCTCTCTTCAGTTAAAGAATTAGAAGGTATTTATAGAATGTCTCTTTGTTTGCTTTTTTACTTTACTTTACTTTTAAAGGCAAAAATGTATTTTGCATTTTACAAATAGATATACGTTTGGAAATGTATTTTGCTTTTCTCAAAGAAGTATTTAAATGTAAGATAAAAATAGGTATTTTTTATTTTGTATTTCAATTTTAAATGCAAGTGTTTCAAATAAATCACATCTCTGCTGAGCATGGACAACTAATCACTCTAATGAGGGTTATTTTATATTGACGGTTAACATCATATCGAGTATTAGCTTTTCAATTTTATTCCTCATCCTTTTTCTCTTATTTTTTGTCTTAACTCTTAATCCTTATTTAGCATTTATCAACCGTGACCGCAAAAGCTTTCCCGTTTGAATGAACGAAACGATTAACTTTTTACGAAAAATTAGTTAGTCGATTAGATAGTTCTGTACCTGACTTATCAGAATTAACATTCAGAATTGCAGAAATTCTTTCTTAATTAATTGTTGTTATTTTCACTTTAACAGTTAAACACCAAATAGCATTTGTGTTACCTGTAAATTATATTATTGAGGTAAAATTAATTTTCTTTATATATTTCCCCATTTCCTCATTGTAATTGCACAGTTTGTTTTTTCATCTGTAGGCATTTAATGAATAGCATTTTGTATTTTTCGTTTCGTTATCGCCAATTATCGGGTTGTTCGGAAAGTCATTTCGTTTTTTCCCGACAGAGGATTTAATTGTATTCTTTTGCACCCAACTTCATATTTAAGCCGTATAATTTTTATATGCTTTGAGAGCTCATATAGCAAGGCTTGTGTGTGAAAAATTCCAATTAATTCTACGCAGTAGTTTTTGGTTGGTGCCCTTTTAAATATGGAGAGCGATAAGCAG